GTGGCTCAGTTGGTTAAGCGACTGCCTTCAGCTCAGGTCATGATCCTGGAGTCCCTGGATCGAGTCCCGCATCGGGCTCCCTGCTCGGCGGGGGGTCTGCTTCTCCCTTTGACCCTCCCCCCTCTCATGTGCTCTCTCTCTCAAATAAATAAATAAAATCTTTAAAATAAAATAAAATAAAATAAAATAAGGAGTAGTCTCACCCCCTCCCACGTTGGTGGAGGGGCGCAGTCAGTGATTCATCGTTGTTACACATTTCACCACAGAAATCGAAACTGTTGCAACAATATTTTCAGTACAGCATTTGTTGATGACGGGGGATCAACGCCCTCACGTGGCACGTAGTTAGAAAGCCCCTGAGTGTGCCCTGAATGTAGGGATACATCTCTGCGTTGACAGTGTAAACCCTGAAACTGTTGTTTTGTGTTTTATTTTTTTTAAGATTCTCCGGGAAAAAAACACTTTGTAAACACAAAAGCTGGTGTAGTTGGGAAGTAGCTCCAGAGTCCCAAGAAATGTATAACTTCACACTCACGGCTGAAAACTACTTAAGAAAGAGAAGCGTTCACCTTCTTTTTAACCTGACTCATCGAGGTGAGACTAGGGTCAGAGCCCGCTGTGGTTGTGAACTCATTGATGTGTGACACACTGTGTGATCAAGGAAATGTTGGAGATTTTTGCCTAATTCACATCCTAAGTGAAAGTTTTAATATAGGGGTGCCTGGGTGGTTCAGTCCGTTAAGTGTCTGCTTTCAGCTCAGGTCATGATCCAGGGGTCTAGGGCTCCCTGCTCAGCAGAGAGTCTGCTTCTCCCTCTGCCCCTACCCCCTGCTCATGTGTGCAAGCGCTTCTTCTCTCTCTCTCTCTCCACCTCTCTCAAATAAATAAATCATTTTTTAAAAAGTTTTAATTTATAACTCTCGTTGATGCCACACTTCTCTTCATGGATGCATGCATGGCCCACGGTCCCCTGTTATTTGTTTGTTTTGATAATGTAATAAGCACCTGCATTCTTAACGATTCACCTTCAGGCTAGAACTCTGACAGTAACTCACTTCATCTCCCATCCCACAGCCCCCCCACCCTGCTCCTTCTGCCAAGATAATTACAGATTTAAATCTCGAATGTGTGTGTGTATATATAGGTGCATGTATTCTCATTTCTGATGTCATCCTAAAAATACTATGTTTTTATTTTGATTGGTTTTAATGTATATAAAAGACATCAAGCCATATGTGATAATTTAGTAATTACTGTTTATGTGATATTAAATTACTGATATTGACCCTTATTATTGAGTATTGTTATAGTCCGTTGATTTTCACTGCCGTGAAGTATTTCATTGTGTAAATCTATGGTATTTTGGTCAGGCATCTCCTTTGATGGTTTCTCAGGTTGTATCAAGGTTTTTTGCTCTTGGGTGCAGTGCTAATATGAGCATTATGGATGTAGGACTGGCCTACATTTGTTTTCTGGAGCGTATACTACCCCAGAGTGGAACTGGTGAGGACATAGAGAATGTGAATGTGCAACTTTAGACGCAAAGCCAGCTAGTTTTCCAAAGGGGCTGTACTGATCGTACCCCGGCCCTTGGATTCATACAGCCTCTCCACGCTGGTATGGTTGCCCTTTTCATTCTGTCCGTTTCCTGGGTCTACCGTGGTATCTGTGATGGTTTTGATCTACACATCCCTAAAGCTGAATATCTCTTCCTGTGTTTGACCACATGTTTTCTCTCTTATGAAATGCAGAATCTTTACATATGTTCCCTTTTTCTAGAATGGTCATCTTTCACCTTCTACATTCTTAATTCCTACACATCTTTTAGATTTCAGCTTAATCGCCACTCAGTCAGCCAGATAATGACAGAGGGCCTCCTACTGTAGCAGGCACTGGGGACGCGGCAGTGAGCAAAACTGGGTAACTGCCCCGTATGAGCTTGTATGTGAGAGTGTGTTGGGGGAGGGGAGGAGAGTGGGGAGTGGACACATACAGTATTTCAGGTACTGATATGTGCTATGGAGAAGGTCAACTTAGGTAATGTGGTAGAGAATGCCAGATGCCGCTTCAGTTAGGATGAGGCAGTTGTAGCCTGAGACAGAAGCAGAAAACATCTAGGGGAAGAGCATTTGAAGCAAAAAGAATAGGATTTGAAAAGGTCATCAGATGGGAACAAGCTCTGGGTTGTTTCATAGTGCCCATACTGTGAGAGAAAGGAGATTGGAGAGTCCTGGACGGTCGTGCAGTAACTGGAACGAATGGGATGGTCTTAACTGGTTGTCTTAGCAGGTGTTCATCGGGACAGATGAGTGATGTGACTTACGCTACAGGAAAAGATCGCTCAGGCTGGGCTGTCAGGGGCGAGGGTGGAGACAGGGAGACGGTTGGGAGGCTGTTGCAGTCATCAGGCAGAGACTTCGCACCAGATGGCGTGATGAAGTTGGTGGGAAGTGGTCATATTCTTAATTCACTTTGGGATAGAGTTGGTAGGACGGACTTAGGGAAGGCATGTGCATTATAAGGGGAAGAGGAATTTAGGATGATCCCTAGGGTTTTGGCCTAAACAATTGAGCTAATATTGGAACTATTTCCGGAGTGGGGAGGATATTGGGGAGGAGCAGCTCTGAGTCGGGGCATAGAGTTCTGTTTTAGCCATGTCAAGTTTGAGATGTCCTTTAGATATCTCAATGGAGATGTTGAGGAGACAGTTGCATATAGAGTTTTGAGAGCGTGGAAGAAGTCTGGGAAAGAGAATTAGAATTCTGAGTCATCAGCTTGTGGATAGTGAGATAAAGATGAAGGCTCAGGATAGGGACTTCTAGAACTCCATCTTTTAGGTCAAAAAGGCCTTTTATAACTTCAGTGTGGTCACCCCACCTTCAATGTCACATTTAGTTCTGTGGTTACTGATTCATGTTTGCTCCCCTGTTGTTGCACTCTGAAGGCAGGTCCATGACTGGTTTCGTTTTCTCTCCCAAGTGACAATTTCTCTTTTTATCAGTGTGTTTGGAACATCTATATTTGACATAATTATTAATATGGCTGGACTCAAGCCTACCATTTTATTATTTATTTTCCATTTGTTTCCTCTGTTTTTTGTTCCTCTGATCTTCCCATACTGCCCCCTTTGGGATTATTTGAATATTTTTTTTAGTATTGCACTTCAATTTATCTACTGACTTTTGCCTACACCTCTTTGTATTCCTGTTTTTTTTCCTCTGGAGATTACAATATATTACTAATCTTTCACAGTTTTCTTAGAGTTAATATTTTCCACTTTAAGTAAAATGCAGAAGTTTTATAACCCATATGTCTTCCTTTACCCTCCAACTGCCTGCACAGCGATACTTCACATCCTGGTCTTCTCCAATCTGCCTGCTGATGTCTACCTTTCAGAGTTCACAAATAGAATATTTGAGAATGCTCCATGCACTGTATTGACTGGATTCAGGGAGACAGACAGAATGGGAGGTGCTTACTTTGTCTTTTCAAGACCTGAACCTCATCCAGTCCATTTTTCATTTTAGATATTATATTTTTTGGTTCCAAATTTTCATTTGATTTTAAAAAAATAGTGTCTGTTTTTCTGCTGAGAAGTGTTTCTCTTCTATTCATTTCAGATGTGTTTACTGTTATGACCTGGATCTCTCTTAAAGTCATATGCGTCATCTTGATTGATTGCCTGTTGATTGTCTTTTCCCTTGGAAATTGGTGACATGTTCTGGGTTTTTGTATGTAGAATAATTTGGCGTTGTACCTTTGACATTGTTGATGTTATTTTGTTTAGACTCTGGGTTCTGCTATACTCTCCCCATGAGCCACTTCTCCAAGTTTTGATTCCCCTTCACAATCTGCCTTCTTTTGTTGAATTTTTAAGAATCCTTGGTAGTTTCTTCTTATGTTTTGTTCAGAATTTCTCATATAATTCGGTGAGAGAGAAAACTTTAGTCGGCTTACTCCATCTTGGCTATAAGTCTCATTTCATTTGCCATTTTTTCAAAAATAAACAAGAAAAAAATACCACTGAATAAATAAATGAAGACGTGAACTGCTGTTTGCCAAAGTCTTTTTGGATTTATGCTTGAATTTCTTTTTACTTTGTTTCCCTCTTTTTTTTTTTTTTTGACAGTGCACCCAATGGCTCCCTTTAGTGTACTGTTTACAGATGTAAGCACCACAAATGCCACCATGACCTGGAAGGTTCACTCCACTGGTAATTATTATACACTGCTGTGCCAGGTTGAACTCTATGGTGAAGGAGAAGTAACACAAGTAAGAATGCTGCTTATTTTTCTATTTTCAAAAATCTCTTTATGTCCTGAACAGAGAGACTAATGAATAAAACCTCTTTAAAATCTTATTTCTGGGAGAGGTGGGCGGGGGCAGGGATAACTGGGTGACGGGCATTAAGGAAGACACTTGATGTAATGAGCCCTGGGTGTTATAGGCAACTGATGAATCACTAAATTCTACCTCTGAAACTAATAAAAAATTAATTAACTAATTAATTAAAAATAATAAAATCCTATTTCTGTGTGGGTTCAAATGGTAAGGGTAATCTGTTTAAAAATTAAGGTTCATGAAATTAATCACAAACTTTAGAGTTGGGCAGAGGGCCTTAGAGATTTTCTTTTCCCAAAGAAGTAGTCTTACCTCAAATCAGAATGTACCATGCTATGATTTGACTTTGCTATGAAGTATGCTCATCACTACACCTGTCTTCTCTGTTCCTTCTTCTGCTTCTTTCTTCTTGGTTCCTTTTTTCTTTTCGTTTCTTCTTTTCTTTCCTTCCTCCCTCCCTCCCCCTCCCTTCCTTTCTTTGAAAAAGCACAATGTTTCCGTCGAGGTGGATGGTGAGCAGCTCTTCAGTGGCCTGGAGCCGGACACAGAGTACAGGGCCCAAGTACGCTGTGCTAATGCCAACCACTTCTGGAAATGGAGTGAATGGACTCATCAGAACTTCACCACAGCAGAAGCTGGTAAGTTCAGCTCCCTGCTCTTTAACTCAAGGATCTAATCTGACTCATGGGAGATGGCTTGGTTTCCCTGAGAGCTTTTGATTGTACCCAAAATTAAGTGGAACATATTGCAACAGAGGCTGAATACCATCTTTTTAAAAAGAACTGAATTAAACACTTAACGACATGTGAATGGGAAGACAAACACCTCAAACATGCATCAATCAGTGTTCTTTCTTTTATACATTTCCTCTCTCATCTTTGATTTTGCCAAAATGGTTTATAAGCTACTGGTATTGCTGGATCCCCATTGGCTCCGGGGCTATGTAAATTAGTGTAGACTTTTAAAATTAAGGACTAGGGGCAAACAGTAGTGTCCATGCCAAGGAAAGCATTGATCTCATACCAAACAACTTCAGGCTATGTGTGGACATGTAATGATATTTGGAAACTTAATTTTTATTGATACGTCATTCATTCACCAACAGCGAACCGTTGAGTCCTCTCGATCATTCCTGTAGTGGCACTTTCCTCACCACTGGCTGAAACATGAGTTTTTCTGACAAATCACTAATAACTACAGCTTACAGCTCCAACAGGCCTCCAGAGATGAGTTGGCCCAGCCCTGCTTTCATCTCCTTCCAGTTCAAAACAACAAATTATCATTGTTGCCCAGTTGACAGAGGAGGCGAGTTGCGCCCGTAGATCGGAGAGACCTGCCTGGTCTGCAGAGTGCCTGAGGGGCAGAGACACCAGTCATGACAGTTATGGCGGCTGGCCCTCACTGAGCGCCTCACATGGCTCACAGAGCTCGCTGTGTTTTTCTCTTGGACGACTCACGGCAGGCAGGAGGCACAATGGGTAATCATCCTCGCTTTGTAGATGAGGGCATGGAGGCACACAGGGGATCAGTGATTTCACTGGCCTCGCCAGTAAGTGACAGAGCTGTTGACTGTGACCCCCCACCCAGGGCCCCTGACTCCAGAGCTCCTCCCTTAACCAGAACCGGATTCTGTGTGTTCTGTCTCTCCATGATGTTATTACAGCCTTGAGATCTTGTTCATTCAAGTCCTGGCTCTTTTACTGCCAAAGGAAGGAGTCTATGTATTTACTTTATTCCACCTTCTCTTCGTGTGTGGTAGGCTGGCAGGACTCTTTCTGTTTCTCTTCATGAGGACTGGAGCTGAGGGGTGACGAGGACAGCTCATCCAAGCCTACACGTGGGTTGGTCACTGGTTGTGCTCAGCAGCTTTTTCCTCTCCGTGTCTGGTGTTCCCACCCAACCTCACGCCCCCCCTCTGCTCCCCGGGGCCTCCAGTAATTTTTTTCTAGAGGCATAGACTCGTCAAGAATCCCTGCTGTAGAAAAACTCTGTTCCTGACAGTAATGTGGTATCCTCCTCAGTTGTGTTTTATTAAAGAATTTTTACTTTAATGATACTGCTCTGCTTTTTTTTTTCAAATTTATTCCAACATTATAACTACAATTAAGTGCAAAAGGAAAATGGCAGAAGGATAGAGTTTTTAGTAAATTGCATTTCTTTTAGTGCAAAAAATCTGAAAATAATAAATTTTGCTTTGGATAATAACAAGAGAATGAGATGAAGCTACTGGTGGTGAATCTGTATATGTATATATATATATATATATATAAAATATAATACGTATATATACATTTTACCTCTGACAACACTTTGCTGGATGCTGGAAAGGTCAATGTGTATGTGGATTAGAACCGTACTGCAGTGTAATCATAGTGTGCAGACAGAAATGGCACCAGTAGAAATACAGTTAGAAACTGTATTGACCCAAATACAGAACACTCTTCTCACAAAGAAAGACTTACAAGCCAGCTGAAGATTTTGCATTGAGCTTAGAGTCCCGTGTCGTTTCTGAGTATTTCAGTAAGTTTTTGATTGATTATTGGCTTCTCCAGTGGATTATTTAGCAAATTGAAATCTGCTTCAATACATTTTTAGAAATATATGGTCATCTTTAAGTTGAGGAGAAAGTGTCAGCAACTAAAAAGGGACTTACTTAAATTTCAATTATTGGGCACAGTAAACTATATTTTTATAAAACAGCTAAATCTTTGTGTTATGGTCCAAAACAATTCTTCTTGCATTGAGATGTTTTGAATCAAATCACAAGTCACTTGTCTTACAGTTTGCTGGTGATAAATACAGACTTTTCTAGAACAGTGTAGTCAAGGAATGAGCAGGTGCCCTGAGGGCCCAACAGGCAGGCAGCTTCCCCAGGCAGGCCAGGAGCTGGCAGAGAAAGGAGCATGAGGAGGAGGGGGTGTGGCCTTCCCTGTGGAGGGGATCAAGGAGGGGTGCCCAGGCGAGGGGACTGGTGAGAGGACCAGCCACTGTGAAATCATGAACACACATCAGAGTACCACCAGCCCCTAGGGCTCCCCGTTAGTGCAGCTCCATTGCAACATTCGCAAATGAAGCAAGGAAGTAGCAATGGTCTTCTGCTCCTAGAAATTCAGCAAATGAGAAATTTATCTAACTAACCTCCTACAATGGGTCTAACTGATGAATGATTCCAAAATTTTCTGGTGGCTTCCAGAAGCTCAGGCTTGATGTTCATAAGAGCTTTCGGTTTGAAGCAACAGACCTTTTGTCAAGCACCTACTATGTGCACTTAGTGAGGAGTGAACAGTGTGGCTGGGGACAAGTGGGGAGAAGTCACAGAGAGTGAAAGAGTGAGAAGCAAGCCTCAGGTAGCACGGGTCATCCTCACTTCGTTTGACCCAACTAGAAACAGGTTGTATTGTCCTACATACATAGTGTGACCCATGATCTTTCCTTTCGTTCATTTCAGCTCCCTCAGAGGCTCCTGACGTCTGGAGAAATGTGAAGTCAGTGCAGGGACATTCTGTTGTGACTTTATTCTGGAAGGTAATAGGCACAGATTCCACAAGCCGGATTTGCTTGGCACTGTCTTTCAGTGTGACACCGGATGCTGGTGCAGTCTGCATTGGGGGGTGGGGGATCTTAACGTGAGTCCAGTAGAACGTCTTACCCAGGGGAGGAGTCCCCACCCACACCCATCTCCCTGATGCTTGGACTGCTCCTCCTCGACCTCTCAGCCCGCAGGTGGCCAGCTCTGCATCTCTGAAACTTCTCTTCCGGCCTGCTCTAACTTTTGCAGGGCCCGGGGCATGAGTGTAAGTGGAGAAGCGTATACCATATTTAAAAGTTATTAATATTTAGATACTCACAATATTTACATATAGGAGTTATGAGTCAAGCTAAAAAACTTTAACGTAAATATATTTGGGAAAAAAAAGTAAAATCTATTTTGTCATTCTACCTTGCCCATTAAAGCCTTCATGGCAACCTGGAAGTCCAGGTTTGTGTTCAGAACTCTCAGAACCTCAGCTCATGTTTTCAAACCATATACAATAGTCCTGGGAGAGTTGGCCCCCAGCCATGCCCCCCCCGCCCCCCCCCTCCTTCCCACCTGCAGGCTGGCTGTCTCTGCAGGGAGCCCGGCACTCACACGAGGGCACAGTCCGTGTGTCCAGGCTCTGGCTACACCCGGGCAAACAACTGTTCGCAGTCCATTCTCAGGCCTAGGGGCGCACGCACCAGGGCCACCACCGTCTGCCCTTGAGGGGGCTGACTGGAGGGACAGGTCCTGGCAGTGGGCTTGGGATGGTGTGGGCAGGGAATTCTCTTGGACCTGGAGGATGGTCTAGAGGTGGCTGTGGGCTCCATGAATGGCTCAGAGCACAGCTGTGCAGGGACAGAAAAGATAAAAAAGTAATTATTCATACAAACTCCTTTCAAAGGAAAGCCCATTTTGAAATGATGATCCTTATTTGTTTCAGCCACTATCAAAATTGCAGGCCAATGGGAAGATTCTGTTCTATAATATAGTTATAGAAAATCTAGACAGATCATCCAGCTCGAAGTTCCTCTCCATTCCTGCTCCGGCCAATGGCACCGAACTAAACCTTGACCAGTGTTCGTACCAAATCCACGTCACAGCTCATAACAGTGTGGGCACGTCCCCTGCTTCGGTCATCATAGTCTCTGGAGATCCTGGAAACAGTGAGTTTTGTTTTGATTCTCAGGGAAAGCATCGGTGATGTTATTAAGTAGGGATGGACAAACTGGAAAGGCAATAACCCGGGGAGACAAAATGTCTAGCTGCCAAACACTGTTCGTCCTTTTCTTTCGGTCTAAGCACGGCTCCAGGTGTCCTGGGACAGCCCTCCTCGGTGTGGGAAGAGCGAGTGTTCAGCCGCAGCCCAGCACAGGGCTGCCCCGAGATTCTTCAGCAAATTCGGAGAATTCTCTCACGTTTACTCAAGTAAATGCAACACCAATAAGCCGTCTCCACCAAGAGCTGGAGTCGCTCTAAGCGTGCTTTGTAGCTTATGAAATGTGGGTTGCATTTATTGTAAAATATTTTGTCAGTCTTTGTCACCCGGAAAGAGCCCATGAGCATTGCCAGAGGTGATGAAAGGAGAACCGACTGGCATCATCCTTCCAGGAGGCTTTGCAGAAGCTGCAGAATGACAGATGGTGACTGGCTAGTCCCGTAGCCCGTGGGGCCCTGCTCGAGGGGCTGCGGCAGGCTGGGTGACTGTGGTCTTCCAGGTTAGGCTTACATTTGGGTTACGTGGGCTAGATCGGAGGGCGGTGATGGTTTATTTATTTTTAGAACTATCCGGTGTGTCAAGTAAGAAAAAGAAATCTGGATCGTGGCGCCGAAGGAAAACTAAGCAGTTACTTCACATGACCTTTGCTTGTCAAAAACTGCATTAGAAAAGAAGGTGAACTGATAGTACACCATATGCTAATTAATTGAATTTAAATAAAAAATGAATTAATAATAATAAAAGAAAGTGAAAAGTTGTAATCTGTCCTCATCAGGACAAGATGAGGAAAAGTGGGCGTTTCATTCACCCTGGGGGAGCTGACTGATAAAAGAAAGACTGCCTTGCATGAGGCCCAATCCAAACAACACTGCTGAGCACTTGGCTGTTGGGGGTCTTCTCTATCAAGCGTACTTTCCTTCCCCATACCCTGCCCTCAGACCTCCATACCTTCCCTTGTGAGGCTCTATCCGGCCTTCCTTAAGTGGCCCACATTCTTAAATCACCACGGTGGATAAAGGCACTGATGTGCCATGAGGCCGACTGTTAAGGTTAAACCACCTCATGCTAGAGTGTGAATGACTGAAGAAAAAGATTTCCTTTCTCCTTCCCTCCTCTGTCTCTACTTCTCAAAACATAATTTGCAATTTTCAAAAAGCAGCTTGATAAGAGTTATGATTCTGAGTGTGGGATGAAATTTCAGCCAGTGTGAATGAGTAAGGTGAAAAAATGTCAGTGTTGATGCGAAAGAGATTTATTTCTCTAAGGGAAGAAGACAAGGAAGACTTGTCGGTGGTATATACAGAGGCCTTCACAGAGAACCCTTTGTCTTACACCTAGAGCTACACGTTCCTTTGGGTATCCCCTAGTTAGTATCTAGAACAATTAATAACACTGTGCTTTCACACCAATGTCCAGCTGTAATTAGGAGTGCCAAAGGAAATACAGGAGGCCCAGTTAAATTTAAATTGCAGATGAATAATGAGTAAATGTTTAGTTAAGTCTATGCCATGCAGTATTTGCTTCTCCTTGATTGCTTTTCTGAGCAGCTGCCTGCAGGCCCCCTCCTTGGTCTGGCTCTGCTCTCACGCGAGTGACCAGCTGGGACCACTGCCCTATGAACAGTGGCAGGCTGTGAGGGCAGCCTCAGGAAGTAGGAGAAATTCTCGTCCCCCAAGGTATAGGGTGACTCTGCCTGAAATCAGTAGAACTGGGAGTCCACTGAGATCGTATCACTTGTTTCCAGCTGGAAACTACCCTGGCATATGAAATAGGTCGAGGTGGGTAGCCTGGGTCATGAGGACTGGGCACATCCCTACATAATCCAACTTAGTACATAGCCGAACTTCCTTTCTTTTGTCGTTCTCACTCAATTTCTACCCCTAACATCAAAGAAGTAGTGGTCCATGCAGGAGCAGCCGGCGTTATGTGGGGGCATTTAGACGCAATTATTCATTTGTTCAACAGAGATTTTTGGAAAGTACCAAGTACCAGACATGGGGGCAGCAACTTGTTGGGCAAAGGGAAAGATAGTAAATATTTTAGGCTTCACAGATCACACGGCCTCTGTTCTATATCCTATATGCTTTGTTTTTTTGCACCTCTTTAAAAATCTTAAAACCCTGCTTAGCTCAAGGGTCATAAAGCAAGCTTTGGAGGCTGGATTTGTGCTGCGGGAAGTAGTTTGCTGACCCTTGTTTTAGGGCCTGAAGTCTGGTTGGGTCTCAGAAGATTAGCACAAGAGGCATCCAAAGGGCAGAAGTGAATATTTGCTGGGAAGTGAGAGGCAGGAAAACACCCATGAAAACGTTACCCTGCCCCCAAGCTTCTGTAGCCACGGAAGGGATAGGGCTCTTAACTGTTGGAGACAGTGCATGCTCAACTTGATTTTCTTCTTTAAACATTTTTTTTTAAAAAACGTACAATTAATTCTATCTGAAGCATGGCTCTATTTGTAATGTATAGAAGAAGTTGAAGAAGAAAGAGTTAAAGGCACGGAGGATGGATTCTCTCTGTCGTGGAAACCCCAACCCGGAAACGTCACGGGCTACATTGTGGAGTGGTGTGACCGTCCCCGGGGCCCGCTCTGTGATCTCCAGTGGAAGAGCGTCGGTCCCACTACCACAAGCACAGTTGTTAGCTCAGGTAAGAAGAGCCCTGCATGTTACCAGCTTGTTCCATCCACCTCTCAGCAAGTCAGCTAGGACCTCTGGACCATCTCACAGCTAGTTTGTGCTAAATAATAATTTTGAAATGACAAATCCAGCATGGGTGCTAGGAGTTCATTTTACAGTGATGTGGCCTAAGATTTGGCCTTCAGTCTACTTTTACAGAGATTATCTGGACCTAAGCCTGTGATAGGTTTTCATGATTTTTATGAACTTGTACCTCGAAATCAGTGGTCTCAAATGAATGGCAAAGGGGCATTATAATAACCCCAACTGTTTGGGCGCTTTTACAAAAGCAAAGAAATGTAGGGATTTGGGAGACATTTAGGACATAAAGTTGCAGGGGTCAGTCAACTCCTTCACTTTCAGTGGAAAATGTAGAACCTGACCTCTTACCTCACACATTGGAGTTGTAACTTCAAGATTGCTAGTTTAGCAAAGTCAAAGAAGCCTAGGTTCATGGCTTGAGTAGAGGGGGGGTCAGCAGCGCCATCTGCTGGGCCCAGGATAAAGATGTGGGACTTAGCGTCCGGAGGGCGCCGGAGGCCAGGGAGGGCGTTCACTTGCTGTTGGGGAGTGAGGAAGTGAGGTGGCCCTTGGCTTGAGCAGTGGGCTGCGTGGCGGGGGCTGAAGGTGGATTGCAGAGGTGCAGGTGTGGGTGAGTGGGGGGAGTGAGGAAGTGCCAGCAAAGCCTTCCAGATGCTCAGCTTTCGTGGGGGCAAGAGAAGACAAGTTGCTGGTGGGGGGGGGGGGGCGGCGGCGCTTGGAGTCACAAGAAACTTTAAAATGGTTTTCTGTGTCTGGTCGAATTCCGCCCCGGGTTTCCTGCACGTGGGCATCCGAGAGCACATGCTGGCGAGCATGGTGTAGAGGACAGTCCCTGCAGGATTCGCTGGAGACAGTGGAGGACTCCAAGGCCAACGGAAGCAGGGAAGATGGTGGAGATAAAGTGCAGAAACCCTAAGGAGGAAATTATTTAGGAGACACCAATTCATTTCTTATTCTGTCCTTTTCAGAAATAAAGAGAATGTCACACTGTGTTACTGAAAATCTGTTGACCTTTCTTCCCTAGATGCTTTCAGACCAGGGGTCCAATACAACTTCAGAATTTATGGAATTTCTACAGAAAGGGTTCCTTATTTATTAGAGAAAAAAACAGGATACTCCCAGGAACTGGGTAAGTTTACAGCATGTAATATGTCCATGGGCAGACTTGTTCAGAACAATCCAGAGATCCTAGCTGTAGATTTAGGTATATTTCAACACCTTTCCTAATTTTCAGTGTCCCATTTATTCTGGTAATTAGGTCTTAAAAAATATTTTTAATCATAAACTATAAACCATTTTCATTAAAGACAATTTATAAAATGTTATGCAAAAGAAGAAAACAAACTCATTGCTAATTTTACCACCCAAAGGCAAATATCCAGAGTTAATATTTAATGTATATCCAGGTATTCCTTTCTCTGTACAGATATACAGTTTTAAATAAAAGTGGGATCTTACTCTATGCAGTTTTTGACTCATGTCACTAAATATTATTTAACTACATCATTGCAAAGTGTTTATTTGCATGTGTCAGATCACCTGTTGGTGGACACTTAGCATGATTACGGTGTTTCTCAACTATAAACTATAAAATTCATCTTCAGGTGTCTTTCCATCTGCAATGCTCAGTCTCCTTTATCCTTAGCCCAATCTCTTATGCCATCTGAGTCCCCATCATTTTAGTGAAATCTTCATCCATATCCACAATAATGGTTTTTAAATGAAGTGTTAGAATACTTGAGTCAAAAGGCTTTAGTTTCTCATTTCTTTTACAGTTTTTAAGAATTTTGACCCATATTGTGAAACCACCCCCCCCCCCCCAGAAATTTCACTGTGATTCCACCAGCAACAGAAGGCAATTTGATCCCACTGAAATCTGGGCACCTGGGACCTCCCCTGCCTTGCAGTGATCAGGTCATGTCTCCCACAGCTCCATCTGTGGGGGCCATCTGAGGCCCACCGGAGGTGTGTTGCTGGTGTGCATGTCTGTGCACACAGACTGGGTACACACACACGTGTGTGGGAAACAGGCTCAGGAAGCCTTCAGAATAAACACCCTCGGAGTATTGCAGTGACACTTGGATGGCTTGGCATTGTCACCACCCAGGAACTAGAGTTCCTCGAATACCCCCTTCGGTCTGTTCTCTGGCAGGGTCTTCTGTCAAACACTATTTAGAATTCAAGAGCACGGGGAAGTCTAAGAAACCCTTTATTCACTTTTCCTCTGGGTGACCTCGTGCAAGCTGTTGAGTGTCTCTGGCTGTCCCTTTCTTCACTTGTGAAAGGCCAGACTTGGACAGGAAGATGGCTCAACTCCTTCCCAGCCCTCACAAACCATGTCAAGGCATGAATCCCCCAGAGAAAAAGAGAAAACCCCTGAACTTGGCATAAGTGCCTCCAGGTTCCAGACTTGGCTGTAGCTCTACTTTTAGTTTACGTGAGTGCTCGCAGCTACTTCCAGGTGACGACTCTCCTTACCCCGACTTCCTTTCCTAGCTCTGTCAGACAACCCTCAAGTGGTCATGAGTAACCTGACCTCCCGCTCCTTCACTCTGAGTTGGAAGGATTATTCCATTGAATCCCAACCCAGTTTTATACAAGGGTACCACATCTACCTGAAATCCAAGGCGGGGCAGTGCCACTCAGGATCTGAAAAGGCAGTTCTTTCAGGTGACAGTTTTGTTTGTTTACTCTTTCAAGACCTCACTATGCAAGACCACTATTAGAAAGGTGGCCAGGGGGGCGCCTGGGTGGCTCAGTCGCTTAAGTGTCTGCCCTTGGCTCAGGTCATGATCCCAGGGTCCTCGGGCTCCCAGCTCAGCTCAGCCTGCTTCTCCCTCTCCCTCTGCTGCTTCCCCTGCTTGTGCTCTGTAGAATAAATAAAAATCTTTAATAAAAAAACAAAACAAAACAAAGAAAGGTGGCCGTGTGTGACCATGGCCAGGCTGAATTCTGTTCTTGCATGCTTTTATGATCCGACGTGCTCTTTCCGACGTGCTCTTTCCGACGTGCTCTTCAACAAATTAGTGGGCAAGACGGCGGGGGGCAGTATTGTAACTTACTTAAAACAAAGTGCTTGGTATTTTTGGAAGCATTTGAGTACCATCAGCTCCTTAACCTGCCAATTATGAAACTTTCTTGCTAACTCCTTTTTCTTTTTTTCTTTTGACCTTGTTAAAGGTTATTACAATGTATTTTTAAGTCTCTCTCAAGCTCTTACTGTGTCTCGCAGATTCGTGGGCTCTTTCTGGATCACCAGCATCCCTTGTTTCGTGGTTGCTCTGCTTTGCTTGCCATCTCCTAAAAATTTTACCGGTGACCCAGAGTGATGGAATCATGATTCAATTTTTGATTGGTTTAAGATGTTGACAGCGCTGAGTCAATATTATTAGTGCCCAACCCTGTCACAAGATCTCTCTCTCACTCTTTAACAATTATTTTTCCTGAAAATAATTTTTTTTGAATAACAGATGATGCAGTGTGTTGCAAATACAAAATTGACAACCCGAAACAAAAGACATTTGTCGTGGAAAACCTACAGCCGGAATCCTTCTATGAGTTTTTGGTCACCCCGTACAGCAGTGTTGGTGAGGGCCCCCATGGCGCTTTCACAAAGGTCACAACTCCGGATGAATACTGTGAGTTTTTGAATCAAAACTCTTCCCCTAGATGTTGCTGGGAAACTAACAGATTACACACACACTGCCCTGGGCTTTGTCGAGATCAGGAGTTTTTAAACCTTTCTTCTCCTTCTGTCTCTCTCTCTCTAGATGAGATTGTTTCAGAAAAAAATGTTACACAGAATCCCACTACATTAACCAGAAAACAGTGGGGCCAATCTGACTGACTTACGACCTGGAACCTTCCTCTGGCCTGTCTCGGTGGCCCTGAGGCATGCCCTGGAACTCAGTCCCAAAATGGTTTGAAAATCCCAGAAGGCATGGTTTCGTGTCCACTTCGGAAGAGCCCCAGACCCTCCGTCTAGAGGAGGGCGGGTGTTTTCTGCAGCCGACCTTCTGGCTGGTTTCCCTCCGTGGCGAGCCAACTGCTTCCTGACTTGGCCTTTCTGGGGGCAGTTGAGAGAGGTGTGGTAGGGTCAGCTGGGGATCGGGCAGGGGCAAGAGGTGTTCCTTCACCAGCCTGGTGTTTGCCGACTGGGGGGGAAACGTGAGATAGAGAGATCCGTTTTTCCAACTGCATTTGGCTTGGAAGAAGGAGAAAGGAGAAGGCAGGGAGGACAGCCCTGACGGTAAAGGCAGACCTCCAGCCAACAGGAAGGTGGTGGGGGAAGCAGATGGTGATGGAGGAAGAAGGGGAGAAGCGGGTATCACATAGCAGGTGGTGGAAGACCGTCCTCCCTGAGAAACAGACCGGCTCAAGAGTCTGCTGCAGGTACCAGCGGGCCTCGGGCCCAGGGCGGGCTCCCTCCGGCAGCGGCGGGGCCGCGGGCGACGGGATGGCGGCGGAGGGTAGAGCTGCTGGCCTGGCACGCTGGCCACGACCCTGCCGGCAGCCTGGGGCCCTCGGTGCTGCTCGCTCCTCAGCTTTCCCAGGCCAAGGTCAGAACTCTTGGAGTCAGATTAAGATTTCAGTCATCGATTTCCATTATTTGAGCACTCCTGCTGTTTGGGGGTAGATTTTAAAACTTTAAATTGATTTCCAGCTGTTTTTATTCCAGCTTTGGTATTCATTTAGCTGGTAGGAGAGAGAGAGAGAGAGGGAGAGAGAGAGTGTGTGTGTGTGTGTGTGTACACATATATAATACAAATAATTATCTTTACCCCAAGTATATTTTCTAGCTTTCATTTATCCCCCTTATTCATGCTAAACCTCCCTTAGCATTGGCTGTGCCCCTCTACGGGTTATATTGGTTACTGTTAAAGAGGAGAATCCGCTGCTACATAATTGCAGCCATGACACGACACCCCGCAGTCTCAGTAACAACGTGGGCGGACCTCACAAATGCCGCGCACTGTGACAGAGCCAGGCCCGACGGCTGCTGCGAGCTTCCGCTACAGAGAGAGGCAAACGCCACCCTTGTTGTGAGCGCTAAGCCAAGGCAGTGGTGACCTTGGGAGGGGACCCTGATTGGATGGGGACCCCGGGCGGGCTCTCTGGGGAGCTGAGGATGGTTGTCGTCTTGACCGGGGTGCTGGTCACGTGGCTGTGTTCGGTTTGTGAGATTCCTCGAGCTTACTTTATGAGCACCTTTCTGAACGCAAGTATTGCATTTCAATAAAAAGCTTAGCAAAACCAGCCTGAAACTTGGAAACTATCATGGTTAGGTCCCCAGGCTTGTTCTCAAGTTATAAGTGCATAACTTAACCAAATCTTCAAAGCAATTGTAGTAGTCAAAAGTAGGGATCTGAGAGCCAGGTATTGTCTAGTCGGGTCAGGAGGAGAGCTTCTTTCCCCTCCCCACGGCCAGGGTTAACTGTGAGCTGGGTGTTGAGGTGCCTGCTTTGGTGCCCCGTTCCTGTTCTGCGTGTCCTTGCCTCCAGACCCTGTGCTGCCTCCTGGCTCTGCACTGGGCATGTACCCAGGCCTGCCCTCCCTCGCGGAAGGCCAACATTATCCACCACATCCCCATCCCCGAATCAAACCCCACTCCTGTGCAAGGGCACTGAAAGCAGCTACTAGGATTACAACTACTGCCAGCCCATTGGCCAAATACAGTCATGTGGCTGAGCCCCCAGTCAAGGGACAAAGTACACTCCACCCACCATGAAGCTTTGGCAAAGGTGGGGAGTATAATTCTAATACAAGGAGGGAGTGAAGAATTGGAAGTAGTGATCCAGTTTGTCAGAAGAGGGAACGAGGGGCGCCTGGGTGGCTCAGTGGGTTAAGTGTCTGCCTTGGGCTCAGGCCATGGTCCCGGGGTCCTGGGACCGAGCCCTGCATCGGGCTCCCTGCTCAGCGGGAAGCCTGCTTCTCCCTCTCCCTCTTACCCTCCCCCCACTTGTGCTCTTGCTCTCTCTCTCTCTCCCTCTGACCCTCCCTCCTGCTCGTGCTCTTGCTTGCTCTCTCTCAAATTGAATAAGTAAAAAAATCTTAAAAAAAAAAAAAGAGGGAACGAATCCAAGTCATAAGGTGTTGACAGCAGATGGTCCCTGTGTTGGTTGGTTGGTAGAACCCCCACCCCCACCCCATCAGCCAGAATTCAGATTGAATCTTGCATAAGTAGACTTTTGAAGAAGAATAACTCCGTAAAATTAACTTCAGTCTTAAACTTACTTTTGTGCCTTTGAGGGGGGAAAAGTACTCATTAAAAATACCACTTTGTTTTCTTCTCCAGCCCCTATACTGATACGTGTCATACTCCCTATGGTTTTCTGCATTTTGCTCATCATGATCATATGCTACTTGAAAAGTCAGTGGTAAGTGTGTGGGGAAGATTTTTATCCAAGAAGTCAGAGAAAAAAAAAAATCTAGAAAGGAGTGTAAGAAGCTAGAAATCACATTGAATAATGAGAGAAGGTGCTGAAAAGGCAAGGGACAGAGACTTAGATGAAAATTGTTAAACAGGTTTGCTTTCCAGGTCAATATATAAGGAAAACAATAGCCATTTGCAAACGACTGCAAAGCCTGTTCAATAACCATAGCTAATACTGGTAGTTCACCTACTGTGTGCTTGGCAGTATTCTAAGTGCTTTACATACAGCTCATTCAGTCCTCACACCACCACCCTGGGCACCGTCATCATCTCCACTGAATCAGCAAGTTTAGATATAAACATAGCCTGCCCAAGGTCACAGAGTTAGTAAGTGATAGAGCAAGGTTTAGAGCCCGGGAATCTGGCTCCAGAGTTCTCTTGGTCACTATATTGCAAAATTCAGTCCAATTTTCACTGTTTTCTAGGATGAAGGAGAAGTGTTATCCTGACATTCCAGATCCTTACAAGAGTAGTGTTCTGTCATTAATAAAATCCAAGGTAAATGCTGGGAAATTGTATGTATGCCATAATATCTATTAAAGACTAATCCAGGGTTGGGGCTCTAATCATACTTTTTGAGAACTCCTCAGGAAGATGTAACAAAGCAACAGCCACCTTGGCTCCCATAGCCATGAAATGGGTGAATGGAGCCTTGAGAGTTCTTCCATCAGGGGAAATCCTTTGGTTTACAACACCACCTCCAGTTAACTTGTGACTAGGATGAAACACACACAAAAAACTGAAGCCTTGAGTGCATTTCACATACTTTGTATACTCTGACATACACACACACTTCGTATTCACATGTTTTTTTGTTCGTTCCAGGAGAATCCTCGCCTAACAATAATGAATATCAAAGACTGTGTTCCAGACTCTATTGAAGTTCTAAACAAGCAGGAAGGCACTAGGAAGTCACTCACAGAAACTGAGTCTTCCAAGCCCACCTACCTTTACCTCCTTCCAACAGAGAAGAGCTACTCCGGCCCTGGGCCCTGCATCTGTTTTGAGAACTTTACCTATAATCAGGCAGCTTCGGACTCTGCTTCTTGTGGCCATGTCCCAGTAGCCCCTAAAGCCCCACCAAGTCAGCTGGCACTGTTGACATCACCTGAAAATTTACTAAAGGCACTAGAAAAAAACATGAACTCCCTGGGAGAAATTCCAGCCGGAGAAACTAGTTTAAATTATGTGTCCCAGTTGGCTTCAGCCATGTCTGGAGACAAGTTCAGTCTCCCCACAAATCCACCAGAGCCAGCACTGTGTTCAGAGTATAAAATGCAAATGGCCATACCCTTGGGTCTTGCCTCTCCTCCCTCGAGTGGGAGTAGCAGCCTCTCTTCCTTTACCCTTTTAGATGAAGGTGAACACTACCACTAATCAGTATACCCAGTTCATGCCTTTATGCTACATAGATGCAAAAAAGGAGCATCGCCGCACCATTCCATCACCTGATGCCTCGGCGCGTAATTCCAGTGAGCGGTCACCGTTGGCACACGAGACCACTACAGTCTGGCTTGGTTTCAAAGGGTAGAAGCTATGGAACTTAACATCCCTTCTTGGAGCAGGCTTGCCGTAGAAATGGCGGGATCGTGGGAATAGGCTTACCTTGCTGCTGTCTGTTCCAGGCTCACCTTTAGAACAGTAGACCTGGCACTTGACATGGGGACAGACCCTGCCCACTCAGTACTGGACAGGGTGCCTATGGTCCTAGAAGTTCAGTTTTTAGCAAGGAAATATTTCCATTAAGTTTTACCCGTATGTCTTATATTAAGGGTAAAGGAACTAGATTTAAGGTTTTAGTAAAGGCCACAGAAGATTCATTACCAGACCATAAATTGTCAATTTATTCTGGGTGTGTTTAATGAAAAAGTCACATGATGTTTGAGAGTAAAACAGATTTTAGACTTGCCTTGAAGTGAGAACAATTTGTAGTTCATTGATGCAGTAGAATGAACTCTTCTGGGCACACAGACCTTATCTGATAGGTAAAGCATGTGAATGATCAATAAGATCCCCACAACTGCCTTTCCATTTAGCTTACTACAGTTAAAGAGTGGGACTGCCAAGGAACTCTTGACTTAGCGTCAAGACAACAGCACTCCTACTTGGTGGACATCAGTCTTTGACCATAATTTTTGACAACTACCTCAGAATAGAAAAAAGAAAATGTTATTATTAATTCCATTCACATTTTATGGTTCCTCTTTTTTTCAAGAACTACTATATATAAGTGACCTGTTTTCATTTAGTACCTTTTGGTCTTTGCCATTGTCTGGGTCAAGAAAATATCCTGTCTCATTTATATTCCTATTATGCTAACAATGAATAAAAGGAAACTTCATTGTTGGCCATGGTTTAGACATAATTGTAAAAAGCTATAGAGTGGGAAATTCTGTATTTGCTCAGCAGCAGCTTTGTCTCATTGAATCAATATATACAAATGCACCTGATGCATAACAGGTGTTCAGTACGTGCCCGTTCCTTTCTCTTCCTTCTATCTATCAAAGCTTTATGTTTATTTATCACATTTCTAAGCAAGTATCAGGAGTTCCTTGTTTGCTGTGCTGGAAATGACACCATCTAGGTCTCTGGTACCAAATGCCTTGCACTGTGTCATCAACACCACACAACCAAGAGACCAAAAGATCCACATCTCAAGTAAGGTGGCTGCCAACTGGCCTAAATATACCAACCCAAACCAGGGCTTCTGTTCAGACTTTTCAACTTTTTCCTTATGTAGAACTAAACCTTTTGCTGGAAAAACTGGTTATGTACTCCTAACATAGTACAAATGAATATCTCGATTAGTCTGATAGTTTTGAGAAGATTTTGGGGGCCAGTATTGTCATCATTTAGCCTCTTTGTTGCTTTCTCATGATATGTCAATGGCTGTGAAGACTGATTTGTAAATAGTATCTTTCATATAGATTTTCTTTTAAAAATAACCCATGAAAACTTGGAAGTCATTTTTGTTGCAAAAAGCCTAATTAAAATATTTCACCACTGCATTTTGTGTTTTCTCTACCTCAATGAAATGAGAAGCTAACAGTGAGTATAGCCAATAAATCACCTTGTGAGCTTACTAAAAATGTAAATTTCTGGGTACCGCTCCACACCTCCTTATCAGAATTTCCATGACATGAGGCCTGAAGTCTATATATTTCATCAGCTCCCTCCCAGGTATTTGGATGCACACTCAACTTTGAGACTCACTGTCCTAAGTCAAATGATGTCTTTCTGAAATATAGCAACATACCAATAGGAAATGCTGGCCTACGTAACTTTATGCTTACAATATCACTATGACTACAGTTTTGGCTATAAACATCCCTCTCCCATGCCCATGACATCAAATACATTCATATTTAAAACCTTAATTGTCAATACTATATGCCATCTTAACAGCATTGCTTTAAGAAGTGTTCTTCAGAAACTGAAATTTGTGGGGCCCCTGGGTGGCTCAGTTGTTAAGCGTCTGCCTTCGGCTCAGGTCATGATCCCAGGGTCCTGGCATCGAGCCCCGCATCGGGCTCCCTGCTCGGCGGGAAGCCTGCTTCTCCCTCTCCCACTCCCCCTGCTTGGGTTCCCTCTCTCGCTGTGTCTCTGTCAAATAAAATCTTTGAAAAAAAAAAAAGAAACTTTGAAATTTGTATTCATGTCAGCAGAACTATTAGGATTAAAAATACACTCCTGGAAAATTTCAAATGATACCAAAGTATAATAGTTTTTTTTTTAAAGATTTTATTTATTTATTTGACAGAGAGAGACACAGCAAAAGAGGGAACACAAGCAGGGGGAGTGGGAGAGGGAAAAGCAGGCTTCCCGCTGAGCAGGGAGCCCGATGCGGGGCTCGATCCCAGGACCCCGGGACCATGACCTGAGCCGAAGGCAGACGCTTAACGACTGAGCCACCCAGGTGCCCCCCAAAGTATAATAGTTTAACAAACCATTACGTTTATCATCAGCTCCAACAGCTGCTAACTCATGGCTGTTTCAGCCCATCTATACCCTTTTCCACTCTCCCTCCTGATACTATTTGGAAGCAAATCCTATGATTTCACCTGCAAATAATTGTGTTTCTCTAAGCTCTACTTTTCCTAATATGACCATAATATACCTTTAAAAAGAATTTTACCTAGGGGCGCCTAGGTGGCTCAGTTGGTTAAATGTCTAATTCTTGATTTTAGGTCAGGTCTCAATCTCAGCGTCATGAGTTTAAGCCCCACATTGGGCTCCATGCTGGGCATGAAGTCTACTTTAAAAAAAAAAAAGTCCCTAAAGCTAAATTAGTAATAGTTCTTTAAAAATATCAGGGTATTTTGATGGTGTGCAGGACTGGCATTAATGACCTACAAAGACCGCATCAACCTGGAGAGTGGTCCTTGGCTGCATGCGGGGTACGGTGATCGCTCAGGCTGGGAGCAGGGACGTAGCCACACAGCAGAACCATGCACTTGCCAAAGGAGCTTGCTTCCATTCTAGCACCTACCTGACTCAACGCTGATTCTAGCGAAACTGATTCTCCACTAGAAGGTGTATTTATTGAGAAACTCAAGTTGAATTAGTCAAAATCTAGTATTTCTTCTAAGATCGCCGTGGAAAAACTGGCTTTCATCTTAAAGAATCTACAAAACATATTAAACATTTTGCATTAAGTAGAACTTTAGAAACCCTTGAAGAGATACAACAGAAAAAGCCTTTAGAATTAGCAGTTAAAAGATTTACAACACAGTAACTAAACACATTCCATTTAAAGTACCAAGCAAATGCAGTTGTCTTTATCCTCTAAAATAAGCCATTAAAGAAACAAACTTTTAGTATATTTTGGTTTTTTTCTGAAGTAGTTGCTATGGTCTCAATGATTGTCCCCCTCAAAATTTGTATGTTGAAATCCTAACCCCCAAAGATGACGGTATTAGGAGATGGGGCCTTTGGGAGGTGATTAGGTCACGAGGCTGGAGTCCTCATGTACTTGGGATTAATGCTCTTAGGAGGGAGACCCTGCAAGTCTCTTTATTCCTTCTGCCATGTAAGGACACAACGAGGACTCTGAGACCTAGGAGAGGGCCCTCTCTCAACTGTGCTAGCACTCTGGCCTCAGACTTCTGGCCTCCAGAACTGAAGAAATAGGTTTCTGTTGTTTGTAAGCTACCCAGTCTGGGGTGTTTTATTATAGTAGCCTGAATGGGCTAAGACAGTACTCTATTTTTGAGAACTTTTATATACCAAAGAGTCGGGTTTTTTCAAATGAAACAAACTTTCTGAAGTTTAGGTCCACATTTTTCAAAGATCAGCTGTCTGATGATGATTAAGTGTGCTTTTAGTTTATTTTGGGGCCAACTATGTTTTGTTGAAAAACATATAGAAGGCAATGGGAAAATGATATACAGAATTGTGCCTAAAGACAAATCTAACCAAACAAATCTATTTCTGAAAGTGAGACACATATTTTACCACATTTAGTCAACTATAACCTAGCTTTGACCTGGCTTTGACACTGAATTTTATTCTCCAGCCTTGGTAATTTCCCTTGTGGTATTTTCTTTTGCCACTAGGTGGCTGTACTGATAGCCTATCTGATCAGGACAGCTTCTTGCCTGAGAAATCAAATACCTTCCACAGAAACATCATCATCATATCATCATCACTTGTATTGTATATTATTTCCTCAAAAAATTCAGAACTATTTTGTCTAAAGACAGATCCATTTTTTTCAAACACTTTATAATGATCTGAAGTTAAAAATAAAACCTGTAAAGCTATGTGTTTGATTAGATTATGAAGAATGTTTAAGGATATTTTAAAAACATCTGGAATAGCCACTAATGTATTACTGAACTAGACTCTTATCTGTGGTACCTAAAAATCATTTTTACTGGGAGTCACATGTATCTGTCTCTGTGGTACATAATTCAAATCAACACTGATTGTTTTAAAATTTCAAACAGAACACAAGTTTTAAGAATTTTAAGTACATTTTATTAACAATGTATCCCTTTGATAAGATTATGCTTCAGGAGGCTTTTAATGCCCTTGACATAAACTGTACACATTATACAAAAACAAGAAAACCACACACAAAAAAAATCAAGGTGAGCAAAACCATTTGGGGACAAACCTTCTTTAAATTATACACAACTCAATGAAATATTCTTACGGAAAATATATAAATACTTTTTCTTTCTATGTTACAGTTATACAATATAAATCAGATTTCAATGTCTGTTCAGTGACCTACAAACACCAGAACCTCCAAATATGTAGCAGCTTATTACTAAATAAAAAAAGAAGGATATCATGTGGCTAGGGAGCATTAAGTCTGAGATTTTTTTCACAATCCCTTACCACTTTTCAAAACTAATTTACACCATTTGTTTTACAATGCAGCTTCAGGGTTTCTGCCAGGCCGGTAATGGAACATTTTTCAACTGTTATCTATGAAAAATTTTTATCACCACCCCCCCTGCCCCAAGACTTTGTATTTTGTGCTAAATCAACCTATTTAGTGGCAAAATTACAAGGTATACTTTTTTGGCATAAATTATATTTTTCAAATTAAATGTTTTGTAAAGAAAATCAAACAAGATGTGCAATTAATGCATGTTGTGGCATAGCTATCCACCTACATTATAAAAATACTCAAGGGGGGGGATCCACATTCCGTGTGAGTCATAAAAACCTACTATGAATGAAAAATACTTTGGGAACCTGGAACTAAAAGAAAAAAAGAATGTTCCTAGAAAGATTCTCAACAGATTTCAATATTGTCTGATAAGCACTGCTATCCATTTCACTAGCACGCTTTTATAATGAAACTCTCACTGTAGTGATACTCTTGAAATTAAGCTGGTGATAATGGATTTCCTGAACGGGGAGGCAAGGGAGACCTTTCCCAACGTACATTTTTGAAAACCTGAAATGTTCTTTTATTCCATCAGCTCTTCTCATAAAACTCTGTTAGTTCTACCTTTTCTTTTTTCCCATGTTTAATGGATTGTGAATTTTAGACACTGGAAGCATAAAACAAAAGGGGAAAACCTTAATTCCAAAGGACTTTTTCCCAAGGTAGTTTACAAAGCTGATCTCACACAAAATTAGCACCTCACTCTTACCATGCAAAAACAATTGCAGTTATAATTTGGATGACAATTTGATTAGTTTTTATTGCTCAATGATCTGTGCTTTAATGTGGGGATAAAAGGCATCCTCTGAATGGAATGAAAAAAAAATTTATAAAGAGCAGTAGACAAATCTAAGTAAGCACTGACACCTCACTGTTGAACACTTTACTACTGTAATATGCCCTGAAAAACTCAGCTTTAATTATCTCAAGCTCTGGATAAAAGAGCTGAAAACTATTAAAGCTACCATTTCAAAAGAACTTGTACACATGATGTTAGAATAACTAGTATAAGAATGTATATCCCTCCAAAGAGCCTCTTTTATTAATGTTGCTGTCTTATAGAATGGACTTATGCTACTAATCTTTATTAGAAAAATTTTTATTAAGGAGACATCCCCCCTTCAAATCTACCTAGGCATAAATAGGAAATAAATGTATAAGAAATTTTAGACCATATTTAATTATTAACACTAATTTCTAATTTCCTTATTATTTATCAGTATTTACTTAGTATCGTGAAGCTGAAATCTGTTCTTGAAAAAAAATTTCAATTAGAAATGACAATTCACTTTACAATTAGATATTCACAGTTTACAACCAGCAAAACTGCCCAAATTCCTCCAATTATTCAATAATTACCAATAGTACAAATTTATAAGGACTAAGATTAATTCTAAAATCTTGAAAAACTACAGTATTGACATTATTTTGGTATTTTATAGTCTTGTAGTATCTATTATTTATAGATGACTTTCTCAATTATTTCTATTACCACTGACACCATTCCTAATCTTTTCTGCTATAATTTAATATTTTTAAACACTAAGTTAATCACTTGGCACTGCATGTGAGCATTTTTCATCATAAAAGTCTACTTTTATACAG